CTTGGGGACATGGATGCCCATGGACACGTGAGGAGGCACATCCCAACGACGCGCTAGTGGGGACACACGGCCATCTGAGGGCACACACGGACACTGATGTCACATGTCCTGGTGGCAGCTGGCCATCTAAGGTCACACGTCCTGGTGATGGGTGCTTGCAGGGACACACGGACACCCGAGGGGACACATGGACACCCAAGGACACACGTCCTGGGGACACACAGACACCTGAGTCACATGTTCTGGGGACACATGCTTGGGGACGTGGTTGCCCATGGACACTTGAGGACACGTGTCCCAATGATGCACTCATGGGGACACACGGACATCCAAGGGGACACATCCCAGGCACACATGGACACCCAAGGTCACACATCTTGGGGACACATGGACACCTGAGTCACACGTCGTGGTGACACACGCTTGGGGACATGGATGCCCATGGACATGTGAGTACACATATCCCAATGATGCACTTGGGGGGACACACGGACACTCAAGGACACACGTCCTGGGGACACACGCTTGGGGACATGGATGCCCATGGACACGTGAGGAGGCACATCCCAACGACGCGCTAGTGGGGACACACGGCAATCTGAGGGCACACACGGACACTGATGTCACATGTCCTGGTGGCAGGTGGCCACCTGAGGTGACACGTCCCGGCGATGGGCGCTTGCAGGGACACATGGACACCCGAGGGGACACATGGACACCTGAGTCACACGTCGTGGTGACACACGCTTGGGGACATGGATGTCCATGGACATGTGAGTACACATATCCCAATGATGCACTTGGGGGGACACACGGACACCCAAGGACACATGTCCTGGTGACACACTCTTGGGGACATGGATGCCCATGGACACGTGAGGAGGCACATCCCAATGACGCGCTAGTGGGGACACACGGCCACCTGAGGGCACACACGGACACTGATGTCACACGTCCTGGTGGCAGGTGGCCACCCGAGGTGACACATCCCGGCGACGCGCACTCGCGGGGACACACGGACACCCCAGCACGCCCATCACACAAGTGACACCGTTTAATCCAGCCACCGGCCGCGTTCCCGAGCCTCCTGCCCTCTGTCACTGTCC